TTCTCCTTCTCATTCAACATCATTTTCAACGAATCAAGCTGGATGTCGAGCAGTGATTTTTCTGGCAAATTCCGCATTTATTTGTAATTTAGTCGATTTCTGTGTTTTGATACTGTTCAAAACTAACGGATTGCTTCTTCCATTTTAAAAATTTCTGGAGCATTGTGATCCTTTTTTCGGTGGTTGTTCAAGTAAGATTTGAAAAAAAATTGTCTTTGTACAATAGAGTTTGTCAATATCACGATCATAAAACAATAGGTGTATCTAGAATTGTGAATGAGTAGCTGTAAAAAAAAGCATGTGAAGTGTGAATGCGAATCACTCTTCCTGTTACATTGTGATTCAACCCCACCTGGTTGGACACTTTCTGAAAACAGTAAAAATGGGACTGTGAGTCTAAATGACACTGAAAATAACTGAATAGGTGAAGAGAGACCCTCCACTAGTACAACCCCACCTGGTTGGACCCCAAAGTCTCCGCCCCAAATTGGTGGTATAAATACCGGCAGGTACCAGCCACTAGCATTCATTCTCTCCTCATGACGACTTGACTGAAAAGACGTCTAACATTTCCTCGAGAGCTCTCCAATAATCCTAGAAATGAATGGATTTTGGAGATTTTCTCTCGTCTTGATTTTCCTGATTGTTCACTATCTCCTATTACATTCATATTTTTTTCTCTAAATCCTTCAAGAGGAAAGATTTACTAATATTCATTGCCAATGAGCATTTATTCTGAAGAAGGTGAGTACTTCTTCAATTTCACAAATGCCAAAAAATTACTATTTTTGTTGGATGAGGCTGAAAATCTCTGTTTTTTTTCTTCAAATTAACTCTGTGCCGTTTCTGAAAGTGTTTGAACTTGATTATTTACAAGTGTTTTATTATAAATTCAAACAAAAAAAATCTCAATCGAAATAATTGGAGATACATTTTTGAAATAGTTATAAAAATGTAAACTGCCAACCGAGAAGAATTGTAATTTCATAATTTAAGTTTCACGGTAATTTGAAAACTCCGCCCTTTTTTTCCACGTCATCTGATGGCCAATCAAGAATCAGTCCTCATCAGAACTCACCATGACACTCACCCCTGAAGACATTGCCAACCAAAAAAGAATTTTGAAAAATCAAAAAAAAAACATCATCAGGACATCAATAAGAAGCTAGAAAAGCTGGAACCGTGAGTTTTACCCTTTTCACCGTAAAACCTGTAATAGAAGGGCCTTTCAATTATGAAAAAGCTCTTCTTTTATTTTTTTTTCTTCGTCAGCCAACTTCGAGGCAACTTGGTTCCTGTCACAGATATCAAATAGTTGTTTGCTAAAAAATTGCCTATCATATTATCATCATTATTTTCAATTCAACAATTCAACAATTTTTTGTCACAGAACGTTATGTATTAAAGGAGGCGAGACAGCAAAAATTTCGGGTGACAGTTCGGGGGACGAAATCGCACCGCGCTTATGTAGACCATTGGTCGTCAGGCGCCTTCGCGCCTCCGTAGCTCAGCCGGTAGCGGCGCTGTACCCCTGAGCTATGAAAAATATCAGGAAAACTTTTTTTTTGGTGTCTGGCCTCCTTTAAGTTATGGCGTTTTAAACAAGCGTGACTTTTTTCACAAAATTCAAATTTGAAATTGGCATAATTTTGGCCGATATTTTTTGTTTTAAAACAATGTTCTTTTTTTTTCGAAATGAACGTATATAAGAAATTCTAATTATCAATTATTTCTCAGAGATGTCCAACGATCAATCAAATTGAAGCCAATTGCCGAGCATTATGCAGATGAGGTCATAACTGTGGAGACCACAATTGAGGTGAAAAAATTTGCCAAAGCACTCCGAGATAAGGTGAGCAATCTTTCCTGGAAAGAAACATTCAAAAATGACCTTTTTATTAAAATTTGAAAAATATTCAAAATTTAAAAAAATGATATGAATGTATATTTTTATGATTTTGAATTTTGAAATTTGAATTGTCAAGACAGTGAAAAAATATTTGAAATTACTTAAAAACTCCCTAAAATCACAAAAAATGTTATTTTTTATCATTTTGATTTTTCGCGTCCAAATAACCTAGTGGATTTTTTGAAGATGAATTTGTGCAAAAACGTTTCAACTCAAAAAACGTAGATACGTTTTGTGAAAAGTTTTGAATCTTTGAAAAGTTTCGAATCGTTTTGAATGGGGTTTTTTTCCGAAAAACTGTTTAAAAACGACTTCAGATGATAGAAATGTGTTCAAAAATAAGTTTCGCATTTGAAAAAATCATGGAAAAAGACTTTTAAAGCTCGAAAAATGCTCATTTTTGACCAAAAGTACTAAAAACACTTTGAGATCCCATATTTTGGTTCCTATTAGGGTTATGACCGAGATATTGCTGAAACCTTTTTCAGCATGTTCGAAAGTACCTTGGTACAAAATTTCAGCAAATTCTGAAAGTCTTTCTAAAAACACCTCCCTTGTCAATTATCTCAATTCCTATGCAAGATATGAAAAATTACCAATTGATAAAATGTTTATCATAATATCAGTAAAATTTTATCAGTTGACACGTTTTTCATATTTTTGACAGGAATCCAGATAATTGAGCTCAAACATTACTTCTTTCTTTCAGACAGCTCCCAAATCCCACAGGCGCCAAGTTGAGCAAAATAGAGACGCTCAAATTGGCCAACGCGTATTTAGATTGGTTGAAAATGATGTTAAATGAGAAGGAGGACACTAAGTTCCAGCCAATGGTCACTGAACACAAAAAAAATCAAAATGGAGCCGATGGAGCCCAAAAGGATAAAGCAGGAAAACGTCAAAAGTATTAAAATGGAGATTTTGGATTACCAAGAGCGGGCAGAAATCGTAGAATATGGAAATGGAGAGTTTTATGATGAAACTAGCGTTCCGGAAAGTTTTTTCTGAGAGTTAGATAAGGATTTGGAGTTTTTCCCGAGGAGCTGGCACTAATTTTTGTCTCTAAACTGTTATCTTTACCTTTCAATAAATTAATTTATTTTTACTGGCTTTATTGATATTTTGATGAACAGATTTTCCAATTTTCGCTGAGCAAAATAGAGACGCTCAAATTGGCCAACGCGTATTTAGATTCGTTGAAAATGATGTTGAATGAGAAGGAGAACACTAAGTTCCAGCCAATAGTCACTGGACACAAAAAAAATCAAAATGGAGCCGATGGAGCCCAAAAGGATAAATCATCTCATCCTGCGTTGCACACATGAATGTTGGAATCAAATCATTACTAGTGGCTATAAATGGGTAATATATGATTACAATAAACTACAAACCAAGTGGGTTGACAAAAGCGCTCAACCACCAGACGTCAGAAGACTCAAACGGGTGCCCACACGTGAAACACAGTTGCGTTGAGACAAAATGTGTGGTCCGTATCTTCCCATTTTTCTGACTTTGCCGAAAGTGTGGAATTCATGGCTCTTTGATAAAAGGCTTGCTAATGATTTACTTTATATATCCCACACAGTTTGAGACGGGTCCCTCTCAATCCCGGCTTTTAATGCATCCAAACCTAACCCAGTTTGCCTTTTTGAAGGGGGATTTTCGTCCAACGAGAATTCTCGTTTTTCAAATTGATGAATCCAGGTTGTAATAGTAGTTCGAAAGGGTACATCTTCTTTGTTAACCACCACTAATTGACGATCGATTTCAGCTAATTTGAGATCAGATAGAAATACAAATAAAATGGTAGTTCAAAAATGGAAATTATTAGAGGCGAAAACGGTGGGCATATCTTACTACACGAAAAGAGGAGAATGATCTCCGTTGGGGTGTAAACACTATCAGACCCCACCAACATACTCATAAAACGACAGCTTCCTCGCTTTTACCCCGTTCGAAAAGACAAAGTTTGAAAACAACAGATTAAAAATGGAAAGGACTTTCCGAACAACCTAATATTTGAACTCGGTTTCGAAAACCAAATTTTTTTGTAAATTTTTCACATAAAAAAATTTGTTTTTTTCCATTTTTTTGTATTTCTGGATGCAGGGTTTGAAAAAAAAGACCTCCGAAAAATTTCGGAAAATTTTTTTTCGGTTTCAGTGTCCGAAAAATTTTGGAAAAAAAATCGAAAAAAAAAAATTTCGATTTTTGGCTGAAATTCCGGGTTAAAGTGATAAATTTTCAGAATCGAAACGTATTTTCGAAGTACCTTCAGTTTTTGATATTTTTTGGGAGGTTCTCAGAACATTTCTGAATTTCTCAAGTTAATCCAATACAATTTTTCTTAATTAAATCTATATTTTGTGAAAAATTGACCGTACTTTACACCGAAAAAAGTTTTATCAAAAAATTTTTCCGTCCAAAAATTGTCTGTTTCCAGAGCTCCAAAATATTTTTAGTTACGATTTTTTTCCGTAACTGACCGAAAAAACGAAAAATGTTATTCGGTACCGAAAATTCCGCTCTGGGTTGATTTAATTTTTTGCAGTATTCAGTTATGAGATTATTAGTTGGCTTGTTTGGTACATAACTGAACTTTGAATAAGATTTTAACAAATCTTCAAAAATAGATAAAACAATTTCAATAAAGTAAGTTTGCACTCAAAATATTAAAAAAAAAAAACGTGAGAAATCAGCAAGCAGCTGAAAACTCGGAATTTTGAAAAATTCTGTGATTGCATTGTGATTGCAATTCTTGTGATTGCAATTCTGTGATTGCAATTCTGTGATTGCAAATTTGGTTACTAAAAAAACAAAAAAAATTTGCTAACGGATAAAATATTATTCACATTATCACCAACATTTTTCAGGGAGGTTATGCTTTAAAAAACAGAAGACAGACTGGAACAAATGGATAAAAATTTAAAAAAAAACAATGAACGAAAAATTTTGGGTATCTTTGACAGGAATCGAGATTTATTGGCTCAAAGTTAGGGGCCCATTTTATAACAGATGTTATGGTAGTCGAAAAAGCATGGACACTTTAGGTTCATGGCCTAGTCCTTTCAGAAAACTGTCTCACGAAACTGGGTGCCTTGTGGAGCTCTGGAACTTTGAAGTTGTCTGGTACTGTAGCTGGTTCGGATGTTGCTAGTTTCTCTGGAAAATTTTTCTAATTCTTCTTTTTTAATTTGGCGCCAAAAATTCAAACTCGAACTCACTTGGCTCTGGCTCCATTTCGTGCTCCGTCGCCTGACGCTTTCTACTGGGTTCACGCAATTGTTCCAACTCATATCCAACCCCGTCTTTAAAATTTTCCATTTTAAAGGCTCTAATTCTTTTGGTTTTCACATCATACTGTAATTTTCATATTTCAGATTAACACCACATTTTTTGACCTCAATTATCTCCGTTCTTTTAAAAGATATCAAAAATCTGTAAACTGATAAAATATTTATCATAAAATCCCTAATATTTTATTAGTTGACACATTTCTGATATCTCTCATAAAAACCGAGATAATTGAGCGTAAATTTTAAAGAATCTGAAAAGCCCCAAATAGTATTCCTCGCAATTTGACCCAATTATCTCAGTTCCTTTAAAAGATATCAAGAATCTGTCAACTGAGAAAATATATTCATCATAAAGTCACTAATATTTTATCAGTTGACACATTTTGGATATCTTTTATAGAAACCGAGATAATTGAGCTTAAGGTTTGAAGCATCTAAAAGTCCCAAATAGCAAACTTGCACTTTGAGCTCAATTATCTCAACTGTCATGCAAGATATCAAAAATTTGTATACTGATGAAAGATTTATCATAACATCAGCAACATTTTAACAGTTGACACATTTTTGATATCTCTCATAGGAACCGAGATAATTAAGCTCACTCAAAGTTCACGTCCTCACCGTTTGGACACCATCAAGCACATCCTTCAAGTGCTCAATGTATCTTTGAGCCAGGACCAAAATTTCGGTTGCTGTTGCAGTCCGTTTAAAATCTTTCCAGTGTGGAATGTATCTGAAAAATGAGGAAAAGCTGATTAAAAAGGATAATGACATATCTTTGAATATAATTCTGCAATTTCGATGGACCTTGTTGCCATCGACTGCAAAAAATATCACCCGAAATTAGTGTCCTGGTGTGAGTGTTTAGGCGCGTGCCGCTTATAAAGTTCCAGGCTTTTTGAGGAACAAATCTCTGGTAACCCCCTACCATAAAACTCATTTGGTATTTTTAGAAAGGCTAGAAGTGTTCTTTGTTGGAAAATAATTTTCATCAAGCGTAGCGCCAATTTGAAAACAGCAGCGAGCTTTCTATGACTCTCATATGAATTTCAGCAAATCCTCTTTTTCACGACTATAACGATGGTACCTGATGTCACAAATACTCCAAAACCAGTTATTAGATAGAAAAAATTTATGGGCGGTACTTTCGAGGAGAGAATGAATACTAATAGTTTGTAACTGGAGGTATATATATTGAATGAAAAGTTTACTTACAATATTTGCGTCTCGAACATTGCCCACGATAGAAGAAATGGGCTGCCGACGCTGCTTTAACTGCCTGAGGAACATCTCCGTTGTCAGCCTCGTTTTTCTTTTAAAGTTTCAAACGATCGGTGATTGTCGACAACAGCTCGCCGGAGTAGCTCTGTGGAAATAGTCTCTGAAAATAAACCGTTTTGAAAAAACACCTCCCGATATGTGAACTCACGACCAGCTTGGCAATTAATGATCTTGCCTTTGTGGAAGTTTTTGCCTTCTAATTTTCTCACAAGAGTCTTCAGGAAAGTCACGGTGCCATTGGCTGAAAAGGGTCGTTAGATAATCGATTTTTCGATTTTTTAAACTTGAGAATTTCAAAATTTCAAATTGTCTATTCTTCAAAATGTTTCTGATTTTTGGAGTTGTGGAATGTTTTGTACAGGTTCATGCAAATGAGATAGAAGACTTGTATGTGCCAATGTTTCCAGAAACTGCACAGATTCAATTTGAAAAAAAAACAAAATTTCTAGCCTTATCCAACAAAAATTACTACTTTTAGCATAGAAATTGATGAAAAAACTCACCTTTTTTAGAATAAAGACTCAGAAACAATTAATATTAGGAAATCCTTCTATTCAAAGGATTTATAGAAAATAGTAAAAATATAATAGGGAGAATGATCAGGAAAATCAACAGGAGAGAAACTCTCCAAATTCCATTGATTTTTAGGATTTCTGGAGAGCTCTCGAGAATATGTTAGACGGCTATTCAGTCAAGTCATCATGAGGAAAGAATAAATGCTAATGGTTGATACCCGCCGATATATATATATATATATCCACTTGGGGCGGAGCCTTTAGGGTCCAACCAGGTAAGGTTGTACTAGTGGAGGGTCTCTCTTCACCTATTCAGTTATTTTCAGTGTCATTTAGACTCACAGTCCCATTTTTATTGTTTTCAGAAAGTGTCCAACCAGGTGGGGTTGAATCACAATGCAACAGGAAGTGTGATTCGGATTCACACTTCACATACTACATTTTTTTACAGCTATTCATTCACAATTCAAATTACATCTATTGTTTTATGAGCATAATCTTGACGAACTCCATTGTGCATAGATAATTTTTCTTATGGGAAAAGTCCATTTGAAATTTGACAGCTTTTGAAATTTGAAAGGCAATGCTTTTTCTACGGTTCTGAGCGATGGACATCGCATTGACAGGAAAATTCTTGAAGTCGAAGTTTTCAAAAAGGATTCTGAGCTGAGAAAGCTCTCGAGGAGCTTGACCCACAACTCCGCAGACGGGAATTCGCGGCCGCATTGCGCTTTTGCTTCATTTTACCTCATGCAAAAATTAAACAAGAGCATATCAATCAGGGGGCTTTTCTCCATAATTTTCGGTCACTTACTGCCAACGTATGATCAAAGTTTCGATGCCTCTATTGAAGAACTACACCGGCTGTAATTCGAAGTAGTTCATACTGAACGCGCATTACTTTTTTACCAACCTAATATCTAACGAATACCTAGTTAAAAATAGCGATTGGGGTTTAACGGAAATTTGATATGACGCTTAATTTTTTTCCACACAAAAATTTATTCAAAAGCTTCACAAAAAATTTACAAAATAACAAAAATGATGCATTACGACTTTGCTAACTTTCAAAGCTCAATCATTCACTATCGACATCGATGACTTCCAGTTTCAAAAAGATCGTCCTATAATCGTCCCATAAATTAGGGTCCTTTGGCAATTCTTCATGGTTGTCCTCGGATGAGATTCGCAGTTTTTTATCCTGATAGAGAGGGATGATGAGGTCTCTGGAAATTCTCATTTTCATTCTTTATCATAAATTACTCAAATCTCACCCATTCTCATTTTCACGGTAACGCCGCTGTCCAAGGATTTCATTCAGAATTTCCTCAACTTGTCTGGTATGGATGTTTTCAAAGGTGAGAGTGTTTCCGACTTTTCGTTGTTTGTCCTCCAATTCTCTATGATCGTCTCGAAGGTTCTCCATGCCAAACAAGATTGAACTGTGATATTTCCGTTTGGAAGTTCCAAGAGACGTAGAAAAAGTTCAGGGTCATTGTTCCCGTTGTTTCGGATAGAACGCGGCGAGCACTTCGGAACACTAGATGCATGAACATACTCCAATCATTGTCAATAAACCCGATTCTACAGAAATTGAGTACAAAACTAGCATGATATCCTTCAGCTACTTAAAACCATTAGCAGTTGTGAATCTAGCGTCCAATTTTTTAGAATGGATGTGGACAGCTTCTGGAAGCCTCAAAATATTGACATTCATCTGAAGACGTTTCACTCGAATTGGCTCACTTCTTCCACCGAATAACAGACTATTGGTACAGACATAAGCTCGAATAAGTGTCTTGGTATATTCGACTGCTTCAATAAGAGATCAGAATCATTTCCGATGGCGATAAATATCATTTTTGAATCTGAAAATGTGAAGAATATTCAATTTTAGATAGTGAAGCAACGGTTTGAGTCGTCTTCTAATTCTCTCAAAGAAAGACGAGATTTGCACTGTGATACTTGTCTTTTCTATGAAGATAATCTAGGCTTCATTGCCTAAAAATCATGCCTTAACCAACCCAGTGTCTGAACTTCTAGAAAAGGTTTTTTATTGCAAAAAAGCACAAATGTTTAGCCTCTTCCAGCAAAAAATAGTATTTTTCAACCATTCAGAGTGAAATATGGGAATTGAAGAAAAAACTTACCTTTCTCAAAACAAATTTTATGCGACGATGAATATTAGAAAATACTTTTATTTAATGGATTCATAGAAATTGATAAAAAATATAATTGTAGATAGATAATACTCAGGAAAATAAAAAGGAAAGAAACTCCACAAAATCCGTTCACTTTTAAAGTTTTTTGGAGAGCTCTCGCTAAAACGTTAGACGTCCATTCAGAAGGTCGTCAACGGGCAGGAATAATAAGGGGTACGTGTATAGAAAACATAGCGACTTGCTTGGGGCGTGGCCTAGCAATTCTCTCTACGTCACTACCATTCGTTACATTATGACCTCTATACATTATGACCTATACATTATGACCCTGAGGGAATGTGTCTCGAGTGTCTATGCAGATGGGGTAGAACTAAAATATAGCATCTTCAGTCCATCATATGTAGTGTCATTCAGATTCATATATAAGTGCCATTTAGATCGCCATATTAGATACCTCACACCTATTGTTTTATGAGCGTAACCCTGAGAGATTCTGTTGTAAACAGATAATTTTCCCTAGAAGAAATGTCTAAATCAGTACCGACAAGTTTATAGACAGAAACTACCATCAAAAAACTGATCGGTACCATTTTAAAACTGATGAGTCTTTGAAACGGGAAGCTTGTGATTCGAATTATTTTTTCTAAGATTTTCTAACTTTTTAGCTATTCTAGAACTAAAAAAATGCAAAAAGTTTCAAAATTCCAAAAGTTGTGGATATTTTCCGTATTTTTAGAAGAGAAAAGGTTCACCAATACAAATCAGACATCTGGAAACTTTATTTTATGATCCAAACAGAGAACTTTGAGAGGTATGGGTGACATAACTCAGACTCCATGTGGATCTCCATTAGAGAGATACACAAACGTTTATGTTGAAAATTGGAATCCGCACCATCATGTGGGAAGGAAGATGCACACCGATCTCGCTGGATGTGACTAGAGGATTCTGTCTTATTCACTGTATAGCTCTGACCTTCTACTTTCTGAATACTACCTATCCAACCATTTCTAACGTCATCTTGATTGACAAAAATTCACTTCAAAACAGGATATCAAAAAAGGGGGTTGACTTGATTTTCAACTTGCTGTGACCGGAGTTCTGGAAGGAAGGAATCCACAATTTAAAGGAACGTTGGCAGACAGTCATTGATAACAATGGTTATTACCCCCAATTCATCGGACATCGTTTTGATTTTTTTTACATTGAACGTATCTAACGCCAAAAGCGGAAAGGACTTTCCGAACAACCAAATAGCATACTTGTAACGGGCCGGGCCGGGCTTTTTCCGGAATTTCGGAGGCCCGGCCCGGCGGGCCCGTAATTTCACTAGTTTCGAAATTTTCAAAAAACACATTATGTGATTTTTTTCGACCAAAAAATTTTTTTTCGAGTTTTTCGATCTTTTTTGATCAGACAGACAAACAATCCGAAATACGAAAAAAATGGAAAAATTATATTGAGAGCTCAAAATTTGGCTCAAAAATACAGAATTTTTGACACCGGGCCTTCCGGGCCGCCCGGAATTTTACAAGTATGCCTAATAGAATTTAAAATGATGAAAGATAATTGTCTAGAAATTGTGAAAGAGAACAAAAAAAGCCAAAAACATATTTTCCGAAAATTCGTTTTATTGACAAAAATCCACCATAAGTTTTTTTTTAATTTTGCACGCTTCCGCCTGCAGGAGTGTTTCTTCATGGTCCCACCAAAGTGAAGCATCTTGACTGATTCCCCATACTCCACACCGACGGCAACAACTTCATCATTGAACTTTTGATACTTCTGCATGACGGTTCGAGATGTTCCCAAGAAGTTTTCAACTGTCTCCGCTAAAGTGAGCTCCGGGACATTTCGCTTCTCCTTTTCCTTATCCGCGTGGTATTGGTGTATACGGTGGTTGTGGATTTGGCGGGTGACTCTGGCCCATTTTGAACGGGCATGGTGGTGTTCCTTGAATGTTAGAGCGCGGAACTTGAATTTGACGGGCCTCGCTCTTCCGTGGACTGGGGGGATGAATCTTCAAAGCTTATTCCGACGAGTCCCAACATTCATGGGATCCTTCTCGTTTATCAACATCAACCGTCGATGGACCCTTTTTGCGGGCGCAGCTGGACCAACAGCTTCTTCGATGAGGGATTTTGGCGATTTGGTTCGTCATTGTCTTGCATCCTCAGAATTCTGAATGACAGGAGAGTCTGAAAATTAAATTTGGTTAAACTTGGAAAAAACTCATTTTTTCTAATTTCAAGTCACTTTTTGAAATTTTAAGGTTTTCAAGTTTTTAGGATTTCTTTCTGATTTGGGTTTTGAAAATATTGATGTCTCGAATATTTGAACCTCTAGGGTTTTTTGGTTTTTTTTGAATTTTTAACAATTCCATTTTCTGAGATTTTTAGGAATTTCAGGATTTTCCAGGATTTCGAAAAAAATTTGTTTTTTTTTGGGGTTTTTAAAAACTTTGGTTATCGGAATAGTTTTCGAATTTTAAATTTTTAAATTTTTTCCATTTTCTGATTATCAAAATTTCAAACTTTCTAAACTCATGTTTGTAAATTTTCATTGTCTTGAAATTAGAGATTCAGATTTATGAATTTTCGAAGATTTTTAGGAAATTCCAAAAAAAGTACCAAAAAAACTCCGCGAAAACTATTAGAATAAACCAATGCGTTTCTAAAATTAGAAAATTCGAAAACTTGAAAATTTAGATACCCAGGAAAGTAAAGAATTGCCGAACGTTCTTATTTTTGAATTCGTTAATTTTTGAACTTCCAATTTTACAACTTTCCGAATAAAAATTTTTCACAGTAAATGAGATGATTGAGCTCAAAGTTGACGATAAGAGTGGCGATTTGAACGGATTCCGTCCTCATTATTGTGCTCCCTGCTCCTTCTGAACCTCTCTTATTTTTTTGTCCATTCCTTGGTCCACTTTGTTTTCTTGGCCATCTTCAACTCTGACCAGCGAGTGTCTAAATATTTTAGGATCCGATTTTTAAGTTCGATTTGATTCACTTACGATTTTCTCGCGATGAAGATGAGGGTTCTGAAATTATCCACAAGTTACCTGAATGTTGTCAGCATGTCGTGGACCACGACGGTGCATCCTGTCAACTCTGGATAATTCTTGTTTTTGTGTTATTCACGAATTGAAAAATCGACAGTCCTTTGCACTTCTGCTTTCTCTCCTGCTTTTCTATATTTTATTATTTTGGTTCCTAACTGGGTCAATTTCGGTCTGTTTTTGATAATTTTTTATCTATAAAAAATCTCTCTGGCTATCCGGTCACCAAATTTCGTCAAAAGTTGAAAAATTAAACTCACTTAAAGCTAAAAACAAGGGAAATTCGAAAAAAAAGTAGTTTTTTCAAGTGACTGTGAGAAATTACAATGTTACGGCTTCATCAACACAAGAAACAATCTTTCTTACCTTTGGAATCAAAGAATGCAAGAGGGAATAGTTAGGATGTCGAAAAAAAATCATTGGGGAAGACTGGTACACCCAGTCAATAGAATACTGAAGAAACAGGTATTGCGCCTGCCTTATATACTCTTCAAAAATGGGAGGAGCGAATAGAGTCGGCGCAGAAAGGGGTGGAGCAAGTGACAACGGTGTCATCTATGGAGAACGCAGAGTATGAGTGGACATATGGAAAAAAGAAAGCATATACCTTTTTTTTTGGGAAATAGATGAAAAATGAAACAGCAGAGACCCAGAAAAGGAAACGGAAAAGCAGGTGCCTCGAAAAGGGGAACAAAGAAATGAACCTTTCTTTGGGAAATGGAAGGGAAATTGAATAGAAGAAAACCCAAAAAAGGGAGATGAAGAATCGGAGACTGTTTCCTATGGAACCGAAGAGCAGATGCCTCGAAAGAGGAAATGAAGAAGCAAAAACACTGAAAAAAAGACAGTCAACATGTGATAAAAAGTGTGAGCTGTTGTTGAAAGATGGGTAACGTTTGTATGAAGACAGGAACGAAGGAACGATATGTACATACGAATTCTTGCATTTTCATTCCGGATGAGACATGGTCATCTTACTTGAATAAAATTACAAAAAAATCTATTCTTTCTCACCATCGATTGTAGGGAACACATTTTTCCGATAAACTGAAATACGAGAACGAAATCGGAAGTGTCCAATTTTTGAGAAACAGAACGTGGTAAAAAGTTTTTGGAAAACGGAAATGGAAACGTAATTTTGAATTCTTTTTTACGGAGACAAAATCGAAAAAAAGTTTCAAAAACCTACAGGCATAAAAAATTATTTAAACAATAAATCGGCCAAATGTGCATTACTTTTTCTGCTTTCTTCCCACTATTTTTTCACAATTTTAAATGTTTACATTTTTGTTATACTGTTTTCGTCGTTTTCAAAACGTTATTATTTTTTATCGTGAAATTTTGACCCTGTTCACGGATCGACTCGATTTCTCAGAACTTTCCTCATTCTCCAATTTTCTTGCGGTGCTCTTTCCCCATTCATTTTCTAAAAACGCTCTCTCACCCAAAACGTTGACATCTGTTTTCCCACAGGAAAGTGAGATACTAGGACCACTTTAATCAACATTATTACTGTCATTCTCACCTTCAATAGTCCACTTTCTTAGTATGACCTTGTATGACTGTAATGAAGGGTAATAAAATTTTACGTAAAAATTTTTTTTAAATGAAAATAAAATTTTTTATGAACAATAGGTCATCATGACGCCTGCCTAAAGATATTTGTTTTCGGTTATGGTTGTGAAAAGGAAAAACAACAAAAATAAATAGTGAGAATGATGGGAAAATAGAATGACTTGAGAATCTGAACTTACCGTGAAACCTGTTTTAGAAGGGCCGGCCCTTCTATTGTTCCAAGGTACCTTTGGAGGGCCCTTCTATTACAGGGGCCCTTCAATTAGAGGGGGCCCTTCTATTTTTCCGGCCAGTTTTTTCCGAAATTTTGCATCGGAAATTCTGCGAAGTTCCGTTCAAAATTCATGAAAATCTGCTAATTTTTCCAAAATTTAGGAAGATCGTCATCGAAAAATAGAGTTTCAACAAATTACTATTGAAATGTGGAGTTCCCGGATTATTTTCCACTGACAAAGTACGAAAATTTTGTGATTTCAAAACACATTTTGAAGGCATGTCTTTTTTCACAGAGGGCCTTTCTATACTGTTCCACATAAATATATGTTCACCCATGAAACGAAAAACCCAAATTTGCAGTTTCTAAAAAATATCGACCGGGGTTCGAAAGAGTACGATATGAAAGACTTTTGGGACCCCGAGCGAATTCCAAATGAGAATGAGCAAAAAATTGAGGTTTATTTTTTTATACGGATTACGAAATCTTTCCTAAATGTTCAGCACTGTTTCAGATTCTTTTGTGACAAGAAAAATATCAACTGTGATGGTCCAGACGGCTACAACTCTTATTGGCATGATTTGAGAAAAAATAAACTTCAATTTTAGAGATGCAATGTCAGAGGAGGTAAATGCGAGCCAACTCCAGACGTTTTTGGGGATGGATTGATGTCAGCATAAGTGCTTTTATTCATATTTTGATAATTGATAAACTTGCTTTTCTGGATGACACGTCAAACTGTCTCATTCGATACAGTAAGCTTCAAACGACTCTTGATTTTGGAACAACTGGTCACAACATTGAGCGCTTTTCATAAGATTTGACGTTTTTCTCGGACTGTAAGGAGAGAATGACGTCCAGAAAAGTTCTTTGTACCGTAACTTAACGAATTCTTGACAAATCGATTGACCACGTCTGAGGATCTTTTTAAATTTTGAGCAATCTGACAGTTAGAAAAGTTTTGGGCATTTTTGGCTGTAATTTGACCTTTTTTGAAACCAGTTAGTGGTTTTTTACGTCACATCGTTTGAACAGTTGAAGGGAATACAAAAAGTTGAAAATTTAAGAGTATGGTGTTGAAACATGGGAAAAAATGGGGGTGAACGTATCTTTATGTGGAACCGCAAAAGACTAAAAATTGAAAAATGAAAATAAAAATATTGCTCATTCTCATTTGGAATTCGCTCTGGGTCCCAAAAGTCTTTTATACCGTACTCTTTCAAACCACCAGTCGATATTTTTTAGAAACTGCAAATTTGGGTTTTTCGCCATTTTTCATGGGTGAATGTATATTTATGGGCAAAAAATTCGGGGGGTACAATGATTCCGGGGTACAAAGGGGTACAACTGATTTAGGGGTACAAAATTGGTGATTCGGGGGTACAAAAATTCGGGGGTACAACGATTCGGGGGTACAATCTACCAATGATTCTGGGGGTACAACTAATTTCATGAAGGGGTACAACGTTTGTGATTCGGGGGTACAATTTTTTTTGACGAAGTTTCTGAATTCCTGAATTTCAGAGCTTGAAAATCTCAGAATTCGGAATCTGAGAATTTCGGAACTTCAGAGTCTGAGAATTTGAAAATTTCAGAACTTCAAAATCTCAGAATTTCAGAACTTCAGAATTCTTAGAATTTTAGAACTTTGGAATTTCAGAATTCGCAATCTGAGAATTCTGTAACTTCAGAATCTGAGAATCTGAGAATTTCGGATCTTTAGAATCTGAGAATGCTTCAAAATCTCAGAACTTCGGAACTTCAAAACTTCAGGACTTCAGAATCTCAATATTTCAAGAAAGACAATGGAGAACTGTGAAATAATTTTAACAAATTTTACAAACGGATTTTAATGCCAGTCGATACTTTCCTCACTTCCAATTTTTCTCAATTTTATTTCTTAATTCTTTTTCAATTCCCTTTGTTTCTCAATATTCCTTCGTCTTTTTCCCAATTTTTCTCAATTTTCCTCAATTTTCGCGGTAATTTGAATTTTTCTCATTTTTAAATGATTTTTTAGATCATTGATTGAAGGAAACAATCACAATTTAGATATTTCCCACAAAATTCGAAAATCCCAAAAATTCGCCCAAAATAAGCTATTTTCTCTCGGAAATTGTTCGAACAGGCAATAAAACATTGCAAAAATTATAAAATTAATTTTTTTCGATAATTACCACAAATTAATTACCACAAAAATTTGAGCAAAAACAATGAAAAACGAAGGAAAACGGAGAAAAATGGGAATTGCAATAAGATCTCAATTTCGCTAAATTTTCCCATGGAAGAGAAAACCCCGCAGCTCGGCCACGGCCATGGACTGATGTCGTCATCGCTCGCAAATTTTATTTTTGGGATTTTCTCCGTTTTCCTTCGTTTTTCATCATTTTCGCTCAAATTTTCGTGGTAATTTATCGAGAAAAAAAAAATTAATTTTTAATTTTTGTAATGTTTTATTGCCTGTTCGAACAATTTTCAATAGAAAATAACTCATTTTGGGCGAATTTTTGGGATTTTCAAATTTTGTGGGAAATAGCTAAATTGTGATTGTTTCCTTCAATCAATGATATAGAAAATTGTTTGAAAAGGAGAAAAATTTAAATTACCGCGAAAATTGAGGAAAATTGAGAAAAATTGGGAAAAATACGAAGGAATATTGAGAAACAAAGGGAATTGTAATAGAATTGAAAAAACAAGGAATTGAGAAAAATTGGCATTGAGGAAAGTATCGGCTGGGTTTTGAACTTAAATTAAGCATTAAAAAACTGAGTTTGTAAAATTTGTCAAATTGAGCTTATTGTCAAAAAGAACAATGTGACAATGAGAAGTGAAAAATTTCTGTCGTTCGAAATTTTCAGATACCGAAATACTGAAGTTCCAAAGTTCTGAAATTCTTTGATTTCAAAGTTCTGAAATTCTGAGATTCTTAAATTTGAAAATTCTCATATTCTGAAGTTCTGAAATTCTCAGATTCCGAATTCTGGAATTCTAAGAATTCTGAAGACAATGAAAAAAATTTCTGCCGTGATTATTGAAAATTCAGAAATATTGAGATTCTGAAGTTCTGAAATTTTGAAGTTCCGAAGTTCTGAGATTCTGAGATTTTGAAGTTCTTAAATTCTGAGATTCTGAGATTTTCAGATTCTGAAGTTCCGAAATTTTCAGATTCCTAAATACTGAAATTTCAAAGTTCTGAAATTCTAAAAATTCAGAGATTTTCAAGCTCTGAAATTCAGGAATTCAGAAACTTCATCAAAAAAATTGTACCCCCGAATCACAAACGTTGTACCCCTAAATAAAATGGGTTGCACCCCAGAATCATAGGTAGATTACCCCCAAATCGTTGTACCCCGAATTTTTGTACCCACGAATTTTGTACCCCCCGAATAACCAATTTTGTACCCCTAAATCAGTTGTACCCCCGAATCATTGTACCCCCCCCCCCCCGAATTTTGGCCATATTTATGTGGAGCAGTATAAAAGGGTCCTCTGTGAAAAAGGACATCCCTTCAAAATGTGTTTTGAAATCACAAAATTTTCGTACTTCTTCAGAGGAAATTAATCCGGGAACTCCACATTTCAATAGTAATTTGGTGAAACTCTATTTTTCGATGAAGATCTTCCTAAATTTTGGAAAAATTAGCAGATTTTCATGAATTTCGAACGGAACTTCGTCGAATTTCCGATGCAAAATTTCGGAAAAAACTGGCCGGAAAATAGAAGGGCCCCCTCTAATTGAAGGGCCCCTGTAATAGAAGGGCCCTCCTAAGGTACCTTGGAACAATAGAAGGGCCGGCCCTTCTAAAACAGGTTTAACGGTAAGTTCAGATTCTCAAGTCATTCTATTTTCCCATCATTCTCACTATTTATTTTTGTTGTTTTTCCTTTTCACAACCATAACCGAAAACAAATATCTTTAGGCAGGCGTCATGATGACCTATTGTTCATAAAAAATTTTATACGTAAAATTATATTACCCTTCATTACGGTCATACAAGGTCATACTAAGAAAGTGGACTATTGAAGGTGAGAATGACAGTAATAATGTTGATTGAAGTGGTCCTAGTATCTCACTTTCCTGTGGGAAAACAGATGTCAACGTTTTGGGTGAGAGAGCGTTTTTAGAAAATGAATGGGGAAAGAGCACCGCAAGAAAATTGGAGAATGAGGAAAGTTCTGAGAAATCGAGTCGATCCGTGAACAGGGTCAAAGTTTCTGATTGTTTGAAAAAAAATTTTCAACTAAATATGATTGATATATTACCTTTCAAATGAGGGAATCTTTATTATTACAAGAATCTTTATTATTTCACGATAAAAAATAATAACGTTTTGAAAACGACGAAAACAGTATAACAAAAATGTAAATATTTAAAATTGTGAAAAAATAGTGGGAAGAAAGCAGAAAAAGTAATGCACATTTGGTCGATTTCTTGTTTAAATAATTTTGTTATGTCTGTAGGTTTTTGAAACTTTTTTTCCAATTTCCTCTCCGTAAAAAAGAATTCAAAATTACGTTTCCATTTCCGTTTTCCAAAAACTTTTTACCACGTTCTGTTTCTCAAAAATTGGACAGTTCCGATTTTGTTCTCGTTTTTCGATTTATCGGAGAAATGTGTTCCCTACAATCGATGGTAAGAAAGAATAGATTTTTTTGTAATTTGATTCAAGTAAGATGACCATGTCTCATTCGGAATGAAAATGCAAGTATTCGTATGTTCATATTGTTCCTTCGTTTCTGTCTTCATACAAACGTTACCCATCTTTCAACAACAACTCACACTTTTTATCACATTTTGACTGCCTTTTTTTCAGGGTTTCTGCTTCTTCATTTCCTTTTTCGAGGCATCTGCTCTTCGGTTCCATAGGAAACAGTCTCCGATTCTTTATCTCCCTTTTTTGGGTTTTCTTCTATTCAATTTCCCTTCCATTTCCCAAAGAAAGGTTCACTTCTTTGTTCCCCTTTTCGAGGCACCTGCTTTTCCGTTTCCTTTTCTGGGTCTCTGCTGTTTCATTTTTCATCTATTTCCCAAAAAAAAAGGTATATGCTTTCTTTTTTCCATATGTCCACTCATACTCTGCGTTCTCCATAGATGACACCGTTGTCACTTGCTCCACCCCTTTCTGCGCCGACTCTATTCGCTCCTCCCATTTTTGAGGAGTATATAAGGCAGGCGCAATACCTGTTTCTTCAGTATTCTATTGACTGGGTGTACCAGTCTTCCCCAATGATTTTTTTTCGACATCCTAACTATTCCCTCTTGCATTCTTTGATTCCAAAGGTAAGAAAGATTGTTTCTTGTGTTGATGAAGCCGTAACATTGTAATTTCTCACAATCACTTGAAAAAACTACTTTTTTTTGAATTTCCCATGTTTTTAGCTTTAAGTGAGTTTAATTTTTCAACTTTTGACGAAATTTGGTGACCGGATAGCCAGAGAGATTTTTTATAGATAAAAAATTATCAAAAACAGACCGAAATTGACCCAGTTAGGAACCAAAATAATAAAATATAGAGAAACAGGAAAGAAAGTAGGAGAGAAAGAAAGCATGGAAGCTCCGTCAAATAAAACGTTGGTTTTCAAAGAGATTATTTTTTAAATCTATGATTTTCAGAAGAACCGCTAGATGAGGAGGAAGTCTTGGAGCCGGAGCGCCAAGTACCAAGTCAGAGCACGGATCAGCCAATGGAGCTAATGGTGCAGACCAAAGAAGCGAAGGAGACCTCACCGTCGGAAAAGCAAAGTCCAGGTTAGTGGATGT